GTCTATAGCACACCCCAAGCACTATCCCAGGGGAGGATCTGATAGTTTTCTTCCCCAATGTGATTTTTGCCCAAACGGACTCTGTCTTCTCCATTCCATCATTTTTTATTTCTTTACAATCTACCTCATCTTTGATATACAATGCGACTCCACCACCTTTACCCTTATTTCTGTCTTTCCTAAATAGCACATACCCTTCAATACCTGTACTCCAGTCATGCCTAGTATTCCACCATGTTTCTGTTATTCCTATAATATCTGGTTTCAGTTCCTGGACCAATAGCTCTAGTTCCTCCTTTTTATTACCTAGTCTCCTCGCATTGGTGTACAAACATCTTAATTTTTGCTGTTTGTCCTCATTCACATTCTTTACCCAATTTGGCCCGGACATTGTACCACCAATATGACCTATTTGTTTGTCCTCATTCACATTCTTTACACAATTTGGCCCGGACATTGCACCACCAATATGACCTATTAGACTAGTATCCACCCTACCCTTCCTCATGTACATTCTCCTACCCCCAGCTATATCCTTTCTTACTTCGTTTTCCTCCCTCTCAGTGTTAAAATCCGGCGTAGAGATTACCTGGACATCTCCCAACCGTCTCCCCCAAATTCCTAGTTTAAAGCTCTCTTAATCAGTTGAGCCAGCCTCCATCCTAGAAGTCTATTTCCCTCCCTACTTAGGTGAAGTCCATCTCTAGAGAACAGTCCTCTGTCCATAAATGCCTCCCAGTGACCATACATCCCAAAGCCCTCCTTATAGCACCACTGCCTAAGCCATCTATTGATCATCATAATCCTGTCACATCTTAGTTGCCCTTCTCTAGGAACAGGCAGAATCCCACTAAAGATCACCTGAGCCTCAATTTCCTTGAGCATCCTCCCCAGCCTAGCATAGTCTCCCTTAATTCGTTCCAGTGAGAATCTAGCCGTATCATTTGTTCCTACATGAAGGATATCAATGGATTCCTTCCTGCTCCCTTAATAATCTTTTTCAACCTCAGTTCCACATCCCGTATCTTAGCACCTGGCAGACAGCACACCCTTCTATTCTCTGGATCAGCTCTGGTTACAGGCCTATCTATTCTTCTCAATAAGGAGTCCCCAATCAAGTTGACCTGCCTTTTCCTAGTGACAGTGCGATTCTCTGGTCTATCTCTTGCTTCCTCTGGCTGCAAATCCTTGCTATTCCTATTTTCCCTTTAATTTCTAGTCTAGACAAAATCTATGGCTACGCCTACACTGCAGGCTTCTTGCGCAAGAGCTGTTTTGCAGAAGAGTTCTTGAGCAAAAGCTCTTCCAGAAGAGCACATCCACACTGCCATGTGCTTTTGCGCAAGAGCGTTCATGGCAGCGTGGACACTTTTATTCAAGAAAGCTCTGATGGCCATTTTAACGATAGGGGCTTCTTGTGCAAGAAATTCATGTCGCCTGTCCACACTGCCCTCTTATGGAAGAGCTCTTGCAGTGTAGACAGCTGCCAAGTTTTTGCACAAGAACAAATGTTCTTGCGCAAAAAGCCTGCAGTGTAGACGTAGCCTTATAAGTGTGACAAGAGCTGTCAGTACAACTCAGAAGCCCTGAATCCTACTTCTAAACACTAGGGTTGGGATTTTCAGAGAGTCGGGCACCCAAATCACATTGAAATTCAGTGGAAGTTGGGAACCTAACTCCCTTAAATTTTGTCTACATGATAAAATTATAGCTTTTAAACTAAATCAGTTTAGAAATTGATTTCACAAAGTTATTACAACACACATATGAAGACATTTATTTCAGTGCCCTTGAGGCTGGACACATTTCTTTTCATAACACTCTTAAACCAATGAGAGTTCTCAATTTAATGAAATTGGTATAGAAACTGATGTAGTTAAATTGGTACAATTTTATTATGTAGATATGGACTTGAGTTATGTCGAAAATTGCAAGGGTATGCTACCCAAAAACCTTTGTGATCCAAAGATATCAACTGTATATCTGTAGTCCTCTTGGAATCAATCTTAGATCACATTTCAGTCCAGGTATAATTTTAGATGTCTGAGAACAATGCTAAGTAAAAAAGGCCGAGTCTTACTAAGAAAAGAAAGAAGAGAAGAAGATTAACCAACTCCTCTGTCTTGTATTTGGTTTTGAAAAGGCATTCTGATGCTACAGCTTGGTTGTCTTTTTGCAAAACTCCTGAGTGTGGTGTGTTGTCGCAGGAGAGAAAAAGGAAGACAACTATGTAGCAGACATTTAAAAATTATTCTGGCACTTGTTTATAAACATGTCTAAAACTTGTTCAACTCAAATTGGATTTATTGTAAAGGGAATGGAAGTGCTCTGAAGAGTTGATTTCTGAGTAGAACTCAAACTATAAAAGAACTGATGTAGAATTGTTATTGTGAATGAAATGGCTATGATTTGTTGAAGTCATAATAATTGTGTCCATTTTGATGGCTAGTGGTGGTGCACAAAGTTGTCTGCAACTCCCAAAAGTTCTATGAATTATGAAAATTCATCCTCAAATCTGCTATTCATTAGTCTTCTTCTTAGAATGTTTGTTATCCAATCAGGAAATAAATGACAGCCTATGATGTAGGTGATGGAACACCACAACATCGTAATAAACATATAATCTTAAGTGAAAAATGCCCAAACAATCAATTGCCTTCAAGTTATTTAGCCAGACTATTCAGCAAATACTTACAAATAATCAATAAATTCAATGAAAATCAAGCTGGGTCTGAGAGTGGGTTGATTTTTTTTAAAGGCTGACTTGTTAACAAATATTGAGTATTTCATAACTGAGTGGTTATATTCATAATTAGTAGTTCAGCCATCTAATGCCATATTGAGTCAGCATGCATCTGAATCTCTTTAGTGTTCATCAGTTTTGTCAATCAGTAGCAAGTCCATGTCAAGCATATGATATGAATGTTTTCATTCTATTAAATCAGTGTCTAAACAGACCAAAGTTCTTGGGAGATGTTGAAAGCTGCTCAGATGATGGGACTGGAAACAGTGATTCTAAAGAGTGTGATTCTGAACCTGGTATTTAAAAAAAAAAAGGGAGTAAGTGGGAAAAGTAGATGTCTCCATGTGCTATCAAAACATCTTATAAGGCTCGTCTTGGCAGAGGTAGCCTCAAAGAGGATGGAGAGAGGCTGTTCTCAGTAGTGACAGATGGCAGAACAAGGAGCAATGGTCTCAAGTTGTGGTGGGAGAGGTCCAGGTTGGATATTAGGAAAAACTATTTCACTAGGAGGGTGATGAATTACTGGAATGGGTTACCTAGGGAAGTAGTGGAGTTTCCATCCCTAGAGGTGTTTAAGTCTCGGCTTGACAAAGCCCTGGCTGGGATGATTTAGTTGGGACTGGTCCTGCTTTGGGCAGGGGGCTGGACTTGATGACCTTCTGAGGCCTCTTCTAGTTCTATGGTTCTATGATTCTAAATATAGGTCTCCATTAAAATATTTTCCCTCCAGTGTGCCTCATTTTGCTAGTCAATGTATTATATCACTCTTATGAATGTGTTTACTGGACCTAAACTTAAGTCCTTATATCGGCTGTGTCTAGACTGGCCAGTTTTTCCGGAAAATCAGCCACTTTTCCAGAAAAACTTGCCAGTTGTCTACACTGGCCACTTGAATTTCCACAAAATCACTGACTTCCTACTGTAAGAAATCAGTGTCCGTGCCAATCTAGACGCTCTTTTCCACAAATGCTTTAAACGGAAAACTTTTTCCGCTTTACTGTAAATTTACTTGTGCAAGAACGCACGTGCAGTGTAGATGCTCCACAAGTTTTTGCGCAAGAGTGGCCATTCTTGCACAAGAAGCCTGCAGTGTAGATGTAGCCCAACTGAGGCCTAATTAGCACAGAGAGGAAGAATGACTTCTCGTGTCTTGCTCACAACACTCCTGTTAATGCATCCCAGAATCATGTTTGCTTTTTTGCAACTGTCACACTGTTGACTCATATTTAGCTTGTGGTCCACTATGATCCCTAGATCCCTTTCTGCAATACTCCTCCCTAGGCAGGCATTTCCCATTCTGTATATTTGAATCTGATTGTTCCTTCCTAAGTGGAGTACTTTGCATTTGTCCTTATTAAACTTCATCCTATTTACCTCAGACCATTTCTTCAGTCTGTTCAAATCATTTTGAATGATGACCCTATCCTCCAAAGCATTTGCAACCCCTTCCAGCTTGGTATCATCTGCAAACTTAATAATCATACTCTCTATGCCAATATCGAAATCGTTGATGAAGATATTGAACAGAACCGGTCCCAAAACACTTGTTATGCCCTTCCAGCAGGATCGTGAACTGTTAATAACTACTCTCTGAGAACCATTATCCAGCCAGTTATGCACCCACCTTATAATAGCCCCATCTAAGTTGTATTTGCCTAGTTTATTGATAAGAAGCTGGCAAGCAGCAAAGAAGGAGAAAGCTTATCTTTTCTACTCCAGCAAGGAGGGGGAAAGTGGGCCTCATGTAAGAAGGAAAACATGCCTAGAATTTAGCAAGGCCAATCCCTGTCTTGGTCACACCCTCACTAATGCTGCAGACCTTCCCAGATCCCTATTAACTCTGAAATAACCCAATAATAATCACAGCTATTTTTTTCTTTTATCACATACAGGCACGTGCTAGTGACCAGGGAGTCGCTCCTTTGCTCTGCCTCTCCTAGCCCTCCCACACAGGAGCCCTTTGGGTTGCTGCTCTTGCGCGGAAATTCCGCTGAAGCCCGTGGTCTCCCCTACGGGCATTGCTATCTTCAACCACTCACGGCCGCAGGGCCAGGGCTCGTCGGGAGGCCGCGGGACAGCGCAGGCGCCTGTCGGGTTGGGTTTACACTGCATTTCCCAGAATCCTGCGCCGAGGTTGGGGCAGCCGAATTAGGAGGCAGCGAGCGAGCGAGCCGCGCGTGCGCCGCCGGGCTGCTTTCCGGGTGCGCTCCAGCCCGCTCTGCTGCGGATGCTTGTGCAGGGGCTGCTGGTGCCATGTGCGGGCAGGAGCCCCCCGCCTCGTACCAGGAGGTACTGAGGGGCAGCGCGGAGGGGTGGGGGGTTGGCTGGCGTGAGTAAGTCTGCGCGCGCAACGGGAGCGAGGGGTTTGGCTTTGCCGAGTAAACTCCGCCGCGGGGCTGCACCGGAAAATGCCTGGCGGTGGCTGGGGGCAGGCGGTGAATGGGTGACAGCCGCCTTTTGGGTTGCAGCTGTCTCTCGGGGGCGTGCTCATGAATGGGGAGCCCCATAGTCCAGTTAAATAGCAGCAGCTAATTATGACATCATGATCAAAGAATTAAAATTGAAACTTGGGTCAGCTGAGCTCCCTATTGCGCTCTGCCTATGCTCAGACTGTGGTTCTCTAGCTCTTCAGTGGCTTCGATAAGTCACCTCGAGCAAAGAAAGTCAACTAGGTCAAGTTTTCATTTTAGAGCCATAGCAAAATGGATCATTGGCTGTTGCTGTGTCTACATTGGCATGATTTTGCGGAAAAGCGCTTTTGCGCAAAATCTTGCTGCCTGTCTACACTGGCGGGGGGTTCTTGCACAAGAACATTAATGTTCTCATGTATGAAATCAGTGCTTCTTGAGCAAGAACTATGATGCTCCCACTCAGGAATAAGCCCGCTTGCACAACTGTTCTTGCGCAAGAGGCCAGAGTAGACAGGCAACATGAATATCTTGGGCAAAAAAGCCCGATGGTTAAAATGGCCATCAGAGCTTTCTTGTGCAAGAGAGTGTCTCCACTGGCACAGGTGCTCTTGCGCAAAAGCACGTTTTGTGCAATGGCACATGCCAGTGTAGACGCTGTCTTGCACAAATACTCTTAACACAAAAACTCTTGTGTTAAAGAGCATTTGCACAAAATCTTGCCAATGTAGACGTAGCCTGTATATTGCCCTAAGCAAACTGGAAAGTGTCCATTCTTCCTAACCTGCTATCAGTCAGAGAGATCATGAATCAGTTTGCTACCCAAGGCATCTACCTGCTCTCTCGGTAGGGTAACGCCTTGATCTCCAAGTCTTTGTATTTAAATATGTAGGAACTAAACATGGTGATGTTTGATACAAGCAAATATATATCTTTTTATTTTAAAAAACAAGGAAATGATAGTTAAAATACAGTAAACTATAATATTGTAGAATGAAAGTGTATACAGTTGACGTTTTCAATTTTATAACAAAAGAGGGATCTGTCAGACATGAAAAGTGATACTGATGGCTCAGTTGTAATCCTGCCAGAAACCTGAGCGCTTCACCTCATTTGCATATCAAACTTGTATATAAACATAATATTATACTTGTACTTGCATCTTTCCTGGTAGAGGCATAGAAATTGTCTTGTTCATGCTGCAGCTGATCACCTTTGCCTTCACCAGATAGGCAGACCAAGAAAAGGACACAGCTGTTTGCCTCATTTTTAGAAAGTTGAAGGTTTCCTGTGGATTTGGGTTTGCTTTGTGGGAAGCCCTAGTTTAACCTATCAACATTTATCAGTTCTCCTATTTCTCATGTCAAACTGGAAGACCTAAAAATATTAAAATAACCTCACGTACAAACAAGTGAAACTGAACAGTTCTTCGTTTATTTATATCCCCCCCGCAGAGTTTTCTCTGACTGGATGAAATTCACTTCACTCAGAAGAGCACATGTTGCTGATATTTCTAAAATGGCTCATGAAGCATGGATCCTGTATCTCCCTGATCTACCCATAACTCAGACTCAGTGTTGATACCCTTTAAATGGTTGCTGCCAGCTATCCTCTGAAGAATTTCACCCACCATGGCTTATTATCTTCTGTGTCTTTTCATTTTATCCTTCCTTCCTTTTTCTTTTCAGATAAGGGGCTAAATTTGAGCTTTTCTTTGCTCACTTGACTCCACAAAGTTCTACACTTAAATAATAATATCCTTCCACAAGACCAGTGACTGGAGCTAAATTTGTCTAAAATAGAGATCCTAGATTTGTCACCTTTAGTTTTATCTTGACTTCTAGTTTCCTCTTGTAATTCTACTCCCCACCCCTCCGGCTTGTGCATAAGCAACAGTTGGAAATGCTGCATCATTCTGGAGTGATTCTCTCTCCCTTGAGACTGCCACAGAACTTAGACACATTTTTAGGTGGTGTGAAAGTACAGAGCCTATTCTCTCCCACTTCTCCCAGCTGCTGTAGTGTAATTTCTGTAATGATTGCACCACCAGCAATGCCCCTCTGCCATGTATATTGGCCAAACTGGACAGTCTCTCCGACAAAGGATTAACGGACACAAATCTGATATTCGAAATGGTAACACACAGAAATCTGTTGGGGAACATTTTAACTTGCCTGAGCACTCACTAATGGATTTAAAGATGGCTATTCTCTTACAAAGTCATTTCAGGAATCAGCTAGAGAGAGTCTGAGGAACTGGCCTTCATATGCAAATTTGATGGCTTGAATAAAGACATGAACTGGATGAGCCCTTATATTCAACACCCAAATTACATCAAAAGCTAAATATCGGGCACTTACAGCCTCACTATTAGCCTCACTTAGCACGGACAATTTAATTGATAGATTTTCCCACCTTCCTCTCCCCCTTCTTTTTCTGCTTTATATTTGAACCTCTGTGCCTCTTGCTCCATATTTGTCATCTGAAAAAGTGGATTGTGCCCACCAAAGCTCATGATACTGTCTACATATTTTTGGGTTAGTCTCTAAAATGCTACAGAACCACTGCTGTTTTTAAAGTTTGGTTTAGTTACAGACTAACATGGCTACCCCTCTGACACCATAGGAATGTCAGTGCTGAGATCAATTCCAATTCTTGATCTTGCATGATGTGGGAATCTTGCAGTGAACTCAGTTGTCAGCATGAGCCCACCTGCACTGTTGACCTAGGTACTAAAGGTGTGATCCTTGAAGGAACTTGGGCACTGAAATCCTTTTGTGGGTCTGGGTCCAAGGGTTAGTGTTGAATTTTCTTCTTTCTTCCATTCCTGCATATTAAAGAAGACTCATTGTAGATTTATCCTGAAAGTGTAAAAAGTATCATAATATGATTTCTGCTTTGATATTACAGTGCAGTCTTTGTATGGTCATTTTTTTTTGCAGGTTAATTTAATTTGACATGGAAGTTCACGCTAGTGCTGTTTGCATATTACTGTGAATTGGAAACAGTTGGCACTTATTCAGCTTCCTAAGTTCCACTCTACTCAAAATCACTCAGTGTACCTGGTTTTCTATGTTTAGACCTGACATGAGCATGTTGCAGGTTTAAAGAAAGAATGAACCATCTCTTGTATTAATTACATTGTGTGCTTCTATAGGACTTTTCATTTGAGGATTTCAGTGCATTTTACATTAAGCCTTCAAATACTTGAGGACAGTAGATACTAATAATCTCATTTTACAGAGAGCTAAACTGAGGCTTTGAGAAGTTAAATAATTAGTGCATGGTCACACAGTCTGGCAGTGGCAGGACCAGAATACAGAATGCCTTTAACCCCCTAACTAGATAATATGGCTGTGTCTATACTGGCAAGTTTTTCCGCAAAAACTTGCCAGCTGTCTACACTGGCCGTTTGAATTTCCGGAAAAGCAATGACGATCTCATGTAAGATTGTCAGTTATTTTCCGGAAAAACTATGCTGCTCCTGTTTGGGCAAAAGTGTTTTTCTGAAAGACTTTTGCCCAAAAGGGCCAGTATAGACAGCGTAGTACTGTTTTCCGCAAAAAAGCCCCGATCGCGAAAATGGTGATCGGGGCTTTTTTGCGGAAAACCGCGTCTAGATTGGCATGGATGCTTTTCTGCAAAAGCACTTTTTGAGGAAAAGCATCCTGCCAATCTAGACGTGCTTTTCCGAAAATGCTTTTAACGGAAAACTTTTCCATTAAAAGCATTTTCGGAAATTCATGCCAGTCTAGACGTAGCCTATCGGTTGATGAAATCTGTGAATTAGGAGGAAGCATGTCTAATGAAGTGAGAAGATTAGAAGTCAGGAGTTGAGGAAACTATTTCTGGTTCTCCCACTTACTAGACCTGACTTTGTATAGTCCCTTAGGTCTTTTCTACATGAGGAAGTTGCACTAGCAGAACTTCAGTCAGTTTTTAAACTGAGATTAAAAGGCTTGTCCATTGCAACAATCAGTTAATGGGAAGCTGTGGTGTAACTACCTCATGGACAGCCCCTCACAGTAGTTTGTGAGGGGTTGTTCATGTGGTTGTAGCTGAAATGTATTGACAGTTAGTTGATGTCATTTGTGTCATTAATGTCAGTTGTGAAGACCAGGATTTTAACAGGGTTCAAAAAAGAACTAGATAAATTCATGATTGTTAGGTCTACGGATGTAATAGTGTAGTCGATTAATAGATAACCTGATAAGCAAAAACTTATAGGTTAGTGCTATAGACTACACACATTTCCCCTCATCTTTTGCCAGTAATTTTTTTAGCAGGCTGGCCAGCAGCCCAGCTCAGTCCTGGTTTGCACTGGGTCCTGGACCTACCCCCCGCTGCGGCTCTGCATTTAAAGTGTATTAGGAGCCAGACGGGCAGGCAGCCTGGCTCAGCTCCAGCTCGTGCTGGATCCAGGAACTCAGGACCCTCCCTGCCCCAGACAGTGGCTGCCTGGGGACTATAGAATAGTCGACTAACCAATAAGAATTCATGAGGTTAATCGACTATTCAATTAACCGATATTTAACATCCCTAGTTAGGTCCATCAGTGGCTATTAATAGTGTCTGTAGTCTCTGTCAGAGGCTGGGAACGGGTTACAGGAAAGGGATTACTTGATTCCCTGTTCTGTTTACTCCCTCTGGGGCATCTGGCACTGGCCACTGTCGTCAGACAGGATGCTGGGCTAGACGGACCTTTGGTCTGACCCAGTATGGCCGTTCTTATGTTCTTATGATTAGCCCCATTTCAAAGAGGACTAGATCAAAGGTCATTAATGAATTATTACTATGAGTCAGCAGATCCACATGCATGGTTAGTCCATAGCAGTTTTGTGCAGGCTAGAGTCACACCCCCACCTTACTGCAAACTAAAAA